ATTCTGTTGGCGGCCTGAGGTCCCAGATTTGGTCAATCAGATCTCCATTTCAAAAGTCTTTGAAACAGTCCTGAGGAAAGCATAACCATTAACATAATCCAATCTGCAACATGATGTAACTCTTTCAGCATGCATTCACAAATTGGACATGTTAATTTGTTTATTTTGGGTTCACACAGCTGTGTTACACCCGGTTGAAGCTGACGTTTGGCGCGCTATAGGTCCAATAAAACTCTCTGAAGTCAGATGGAAGGGTTTTAAATAGAAGGCCTGTAGTTGGTGTTGGTCTGTAAAACCTGGTACAGAACGAAGCCGAGCTGAGTCTAATCTATGCCGTTTGGTTCCCCAAAAAGAAGAGTTCATGTAGCCTGGTTTAAGACCGCCTGCTGGGCTGTCCTTGGATGGACCCTTTAATCCAGTACAGACGTTTTGTCTTGTCAAAGCAGGAAAAGTACAGGTGTGAATATAATAACATTTATGTGTCTCCTCTATTATTTGTCCTTGTGAGCCATGTCAGTGAGTGAGCATGCAAAAGAAACACATTCTCATAGCTGACTAAGCTAACTGGAATGCGGCCGTCGTTTGTGTTATTACATCTGTGCTTTTCCTGCTTTGACAAGTTGAAAAATCTGCCGTGAAAATGCTTCCATTGAATCCAGACCCGGGTCCTTTGATCAATGTCATCCTTTTCTGTCTGCTTTTCAAACACTTTTTTTTATCCTATTATTGTAAAAATGTCTCAGGACTAATCTTAAAATAAACACTGGCTTTGAACGAAGTGTCTGCCAATCAAAGGTTAGCTTAGAACACTAAGCGCTAAAGTCCAACGTTTACAAGTCAGATTTCAAGAATTGCTTTGTGTGTTGTGTTTCCTTAAAGCGTGGTTCGCTCCACAGGATGGATGAACTTGTTTAATCGCTCCTTAATGTGACCATAAATGGTTGTATAATAATAAATCCAGATACCGTGTAGTCCCAGACATTTATCTATATATGTACATTTATGCTCCAAAAGCAGCTCGACGCCCTAAATCTGCCTCCTCACACGCCCTGTTCTCTTCCTGTTATTCATCTTTCAGCTCCGATAACAGGGCTTATTTTGTCTTCATTCCAACACTGCCCTAAATCGTGTCTTTTTTCTTTTTTACCTTTCATCACCTTTACCTCCTTACACCCCCTCCCCCCCACAAAGAACTGTACATATTATCACACGTTATCTCCGTTTCTTTCAGACTTTTCTTTCTCTCTCACTTTCCCTCCTTATCATCTTCTGCTTTTTCTCAGCACAAGTATGCTCTCTATGTTCTCTTTTATTGCCCCAGACCACTTGACGTACTGTATTTCCATTGCCCTGACCTTTAATATAAGGGGATAGAAGTATAAACATTACTTCCCTGGGAGGGATGGAGGGTGAATGAGTACATACAAGGACACAGGAGTTGATTCGGTTACTTCATGGCCTGCAAGGCGGCGAAGAGATTTCATACAAATGTTTCTTTGACTTCTTTTGTTCTTTATCTGGACAAATCTTGATGCTGGAGCATTTGTTAAACGAGTTTCTTATGTTTTCTTAAGTTTTTTTGAAAGTCTGGTTATTTGCCATTTTAGGAAGAATCCAGAAGATCCAGTAGACGTCGCCCTTGAGCACCAGCATGAAACCAAAACAAACTGCTGTTTGGCCGAACCTCCGTCCTATTGAATCCTCCAGCGACACACCTCCAACCCCTCTCCACTCCCGTTCACACATAGGCGGTATCAAACCATAATTTAGGACAAGAGACGTACAAACTTGTCCTTTGCTCGAGCTGCAATCACCTGTGTCCTGCATTGTTGTGTTAGCATGCTAATGTTAGCGCTCTTTAGTTAGCTCGTAGCTTCACATTGCATGTAAATTGACACAGAATGGTCGTGATCAAAAAACACTCATGTGACATCCAAATAATCAGTGAGTATGTTCTTCTTCTTCTTCTCTCCAGCCCTCGACTAAAACAGCTTTTATACACAAGGGGAGGAGTCGGCCGTCCCGTCCAATGCCCTGTGTGACTTTAATTAAAAGTTTTGGTCTACCTGCAGCCGTTCGTGACCACTGAGCCCAGGCTATTCCTGCTGCAGGGACAAAAATAAAGAGGGACATTTAAACCCTCGGGGGCTAAAAAGATGTTTTCCTCTAATAGTAACGTGTCTTCAAATGAGGTTGGCCGTTCCTTCATTCATTTGCTGATACTTAGAATTAATTTCAGCAGCTATACACACAATGAGCCTCGTTCTTCTCCTCCGTCCTCTGTGCCCTGTGTGGTAAACAACTAGCTTGTTTGTGCTACTACAACACAAACAGCAGCAGTGAGGATAGTGCCACTTGTAGAAACAGTGGATGTGATAGAGAGCGGGCCTTTGATAAAGCACACTCCATTAGTGTTGGGCTTTATATCATCACTGCAGCCCTCTTTTTACAGAACACTAGAGTTGTTCCTGCTCGAACAGGTCGGACACAGATTTTTTTATCATCAGAAAGAATGTAGCGTCAGAGTAGTTCACCTATTTGGAGAGTACTGAATGTGGGAGCGAGTTAAAGTGCACACTTGAGAGAAAGGGTTGTTCGAGCTAGATAAAGTTTGTGATCATGGTTCTGTTCAGTAGAATCATGATTAACGGGTGTAAGAGGGAAGTTGCAGAAATAGAAGTTTTAAATGATTTAGAAAATGTAAGAGAGCCCACATGACGACGAATAACGACAGATTTTGTTCTTTTAGTGTGCGGTGTGCAAAGAGATGATTAACTCAGCACACCACTCACTAACAGATTCATTCATCAACAGCCAGATTCAGAACTTTTAAAACTCCTATTCTGGTGGTTTATGGACTCGTTGTAGAAACACTCGTGTTGTTGCCACAAATCAACCTCCATCTGTCCTCCATTTATTACTTCCATTTAACTTTATGCTTCACGTTTGCTGCCGTCGCCATGGCTGTGTTTTTTTTTTTTTTTCAGCTTGCTTCCTGATTGGCTATTGTTTCACAATTTCTGAATTTCCCAATGATTGCCCCGATCGTCTTCCGAGCAAATTGTTGAGGGTATATCGCTCTTACCGCACCTCACACCACAGGAGAATCAGCCTCATCTTATCTCAGTCTACTCATTAATTTAAGCCTTCTGCTCTTTATATGCCTGCTTAAAGCTTTTATGCTCCATGGTTGCACTTCATAAACCTTACAACACCAGAGTGTACTTAAAGTGGGCACATTTTTACTCTTATTCACATTCATTCATGAATTCATAAATGCTCTCCATGACTGTGAGTGTCTGCTTCAAACTGTTCCCACCTCAGGGATCTTTGCCGGGTCTCTTTCAGATCTCTTCCTGCGCATGTTTTAGCTTCAAATGAAACACTATCGCAGTATGTCAGGCATCAGTTTTGTACTTCACTGAAGGACATGGAGACACGTTGTCCATTTTTATACACAGCTTATGTATAAAACAAAGAAAACATGCAAATCCTCAGATTAAATCCTTTTAGGTTTTCTTGAAAAAGAACAAATGATCAAAACCCGGTGTCAATCAAATCTCTGTTGAACCATCATTTAGATAATTGAGTGAATGTTTCAGTGGCCCTCTGAAGACTTAACAACTATTTTAAAATCTTCACAACATGCTTTTTAAAGATATTTAAATTCACATTCTCTACTCGGATGCCATCAGCAACACAGAGAAGGTTTGGAGATGTTAATCCTCTGCTGTAACGTGACTCCAGAATAAGGAGTGTAGGTGATGAAATCCTCCATTGCTTGCAGAGAAAGGTTGTTTTGAATGTAAAGGATAATCTCTCTCTATTAGCAGTAAGAGCAACAATAATATCAGTCGTGTCTATGAGGACATTCTCATGCCCCCGTATCCCACTGTTCCGGATTAAAGAAGCATTGAGCCTGGGATTAGCGGAGGAAAGAATAAAGCCCTCCTTGGACAACTGAGGAGGCAGGCAGGGGCTAATGGATCAGGACCCTCTGAGTCTGCATGCACACACACACACATTTTGTTGCTACTCTTCTTAAAGCTACTTAACCCCCACGCAAGAGGTGACTTTTGGTAAACAATTTTCTAAGAACATTCCCGCTGCAGCAGCAGCAACAGTCGAAGGTGACGGAGTTTCTCGCCTGACCTCTGGGACCCCGTTCTGATTACTCTGAACTTGATGTGAGACTCAGAGGAAACCAGAGTGCACAATGTTTTTTTCTCTCTCTCTCTCTCTCTCTCTCTCTCTCTCTCTCTCTCTCTCTCTCTCTCTCTCTCTCTCACTGTTCCAGTCCTGTCCCTGCCTGTTATGTTGCTTAAGTAGATATATAATGTCCGTGATGTGAAGTGGGGTCTAGATGGAGTAGCGCTAATGGACTGAAATGAAATAAATAAGCAACGATAACAGTCTTCTGTGAGGTTTGGTTCTAAAAATGTCCGAGTTGGGCCGTTCACAATCTCTACTGGAGGGACGGATCTCAATCTCTTTCAGCCTCTTGGTCCCAGCGCTCTCTGACTTTTTAGACATCACTGTTTTGGTTTTTTTGATGACTCTGCAGATTATTCAAACAATGACGCAATAATGAAAATAAATGTTTTTCTCAGTTTCTGTGGTCCCAACATCGGTATCCTATTTTAAAACAGACGTCTCTGAAATTCAGGAACTTGTAAAGATGGACTCCATCAGTTTGTGAGGCTTTGGATTAATAAACTGTCCGACACTTTTAGAGAGACAGAGAGTAATCTCACAGTTTATTTTCCTCTTTCTTCCAGATTGCATCTCACTCCGCCCTCTGCATCCCTGAGACCTCACATCCACCTGCAGCTCCGGCCCCCAGGGCCCCGCACATTTACCTCGACTGGACCTCCAGCTTCATCCAGATTCTGTCGTTTGACACTCAAGTGACGCCGCACTAACCTCAAAAGCTGCTCCGCTCCATCTGAGGACCCCCTCCCCTCCCTCCCCCCCTCCTCCCTAAAAAAAAAAAACAACAACAAAAAAACAACCCAGGGACGGGACCCCGTCATGTTCCACTGACTGACCCCTCCCGCCCGGCGAATGACAAGTGTGCATCCGAGGGTGGGGCTTGCCTCAGTCTCTCATGATTGGCTGCTGGATGGAATTAAGGTGAATGGAACACGTTCCCAAGGAGCAGGACCCTAACCAATCGGAGGGAGAAGAGAAACAGTGAGTCGGAGCTTTTTTTATTCTGAGTGACCCGGCTGTCATTGTTAGAAATGTAAATGACACCGGACCTTTTACCTTAAGGACTTTCTGCCTTTTCAATCCCCTCCCTGCTGTACTGTCCTGCGTTAACAAACCCCTGGAATGAAGCAGGCATTGCCGTCTGTTATCGTGTAATGCTGTTATGTATGGAGCAGGTTTTCTGAGGACATCCTAAAGGGAATCTTTGTTTCTCAGTCCCTCATTTTATCGTCTAAATCTTTCTCATGGCCCTGAGTGTTTTGACGTCTCAAGACCATGTTTTCCAGACAAGCTAAACAAGGTAGCAGCCTCAGTTTTTTTCCACCCCTTCCCGCCACTCTTTTCCTCTGGTCTGAATTGTTTTCAGAGAGCTAGGCCCTCAGCTACATCTGACCCGACACTCCACCCCTTGGCTCCTGCAAATCTTGAGAAGCAGAGGCAGTCAGACGGGCCCCGAACACAAACAAACACAGCACTGTTTAAAGCCCTCTTCTCATTAATGAAAACATAATATTGGTGGACTGGAGCCTCTCGCACTGCTGCTTGTAGACGGAGGGGCCCTGTGTGGAAGAAACCTCTGAATAAAGGAAGTTATCGGCTCTGAGGTCGACTAATGCACAAATAGTAGGATAATAGTAAAGCTAAATTAAAAAGATGAATTATTAAATCAGTCTTCTTTGACTGGGAAAACTGTCGCTTTAAGCATGTTTGAAGGTTTGTGTGTCAGGTGTGTGTCTACAGGTGAAAGGTTCAGGAACATCACAGAAGCTTCTGTTTATCCAAATCATGCTCTCAGTTTGTTTAACTTTTATCCATCATGCGAGTGTGTTGTTGAGGAAGTAAACACTTCAGGAAACATTCTGCCTCAAGCTCGGTTACATCTTAAGGAAAACTTTTTTTGCACTAAATACGGAAACGTTGCTGATGTCTGCAGTGTAGACGGTGCTCTCTTTCTCTTTCACTCTCTGGGTTAAACATATGAATGAACGGCTGTAGCTTCGATACTTTACTGATGCTATCGATCATTAAATTAACTGAGACTGTATCGTTTTAAAGAACATGGTTAACGAAGTATCAGACATTTAGACAAACCTTAGAAGTTAACCTTTCTCCAGAATCACTTGCAGTAAATTCTGGTGTATAAGATGCACTTTTAATACCTTTTTTATTTTTTCATCTAAAAAGTGCGCTGCGTCTTAAACACCGGTGTGACCAACATACCAGAACACGCCCGGTCCATGAGTGCAGCCGCAACCATCACACACTGCATCACACGCTGCAGGCGACCTGACGGGATTGAAAATGAGACACATAGCTACGCAGACCAGGCTGGCAGCACGGCTTTTATAACATCTTTTTCTCCGTCGTGAGGTCATAATGGTGCATTTAAAGCAAACAGTGGTATATTGTTCCTGGTGCACTATAAAGAGAATATTTATCTTCATATCTATGATACGCGGTCTTGTGCAGACAGTCAATGCACTGACTCCAGTCACAGTATATAAACATCACTCCCCACCTCCTATTGGCTTGAGGGGAATTCTCCTGAGAATATCCTGCTGTGTTCTCACATCAGCTCACTCGGACTTGCTGCGGAAAAAATACTAGGAGGCTGGCAGGAGAAACTCTGGGTGAAGTCTGAGTGTAGAATTATTTGCGTTTCTGTCACACATACAGCTCCTCCGGGAAATATAAGAGTTATTTAGGAGTTTTCTGTAAGTGTGAAAGCACTATATGAGGTAAGATGATACAGGGAGCTGTCATGTTTGAATCTGACTCCTGAACTTCATCGGCCTAAAATCTGTTCTGTCTCTATTAAGCCTAAATTAATGTAATAGCAACAATCAGAGTTTATTATTATGACCATGTGGAGGGATTAGCCCGGCTGCACAGGATGCCGCATCAGATTCCCCTCCGCTGCGTCTCCATGCCCCGTATTACAAGCTCGTGTTGAGAAAGTCAATCCGCCGGAGCCCGGATGGATTCCTCGGCTAACATGGACACCTGTCAGGAGATTAACAGCTCCGCCGCCGGGGGACGGGGGACAGTTGGTGCGGTCGTGTACGGGGGAGCCCCTCGCACCGGACCTTTCCGTTTCGGTTGACATGTTGGTGCTGTAGGAATCCCTCATGTGTGCGTCCCTGCTCGTGTTGCAACACCTGTACCGAGTGCAGCGCTTTGCACCTCGCAGATAATTAAAAAGGCACAAAGAGTTAAGCTCCCGGGGCTTCAGAGCCGAGAAGATATCAGTGGTGTGTTCGGCATGACAGTGGCTTTTATGAAATCTCCTCCCCTCCCTTTGTCTATGTTGTCAGCCTGTTGTTTTGAACAGCGCCGGCTCTTTGAAGTGATGCTATGGTAACCACCAGCATGCAGACGGAGAAAACAACACCTATACCTGACATGCACTCAACACATGTCAGCTCCCTTTTGTACGGAAATGTGAGGGAAGAAAAGAACACAGTCTTGCTATTATTTAAAAATTGTGGATCGCTCTCTCCATGATGGTACTTCAAAGCTAAAACTAGACAGCTTTCTTTGATTACTTTTATAATGCACTCATACATCTGCTGTATAGCTCATTAAAATGCACAACTTGTTGTGTGTCACGCTGATTTAGTTCAAACACAGATCCTGTATTTTGCAGCTTGCATCACGTCTCTGAACATGCGATTGCAGCTGATGTAAGGACGCTTGCACTGTGTTGCAGTAACCATGGCGAAGGCTTGTGCCACAGGGATGTGTGTGCTGCTTCTCTGTGTGTATTCAGGAATCTTTGTTGTTGATGCGCCTCGAGAGGCCTGTTTTTTTTATCCACTGCACTTTATCGGAGAGGCAGAAGTTTAGTGAGAGACCAGATCAGAGGAGTCAGTAAATAGTGGGTTAAGTCTTTCTGGGGTGCCGGACTTATTGCTGCTATGAAGATAAACTAACACAATAAGTGATTCTGTGAGGAGTTCTGGCCTCTAATCTTTCCATTTATTCCTAATTATGAGCACTTTGTAGGACCAGACCGATATGGAATTGTTGGTGGCGATATAGATATTTGGGATGGGGAAAAAATTGAATGCTGATATCTTACTTAGATGTATGTTCAATCTGTAGAAATAGATACACACATTTATTGTGTTGATTCCTTTAATGCCGTTAACAAACACTTGTTGAAAAAAAATATAATGAAGACAAGACGTTCTCTCAACTGGACAGTAACTGATCATGTACGTTCATCACAGTTTGACACTATGGAGAGTGATAATGCTTGTTGTAATCCATAAAGCGCCCTCTGCTGGTGACAGCCAGAAAGACAAACGTTAGTGTAATTTAGCAATACTCAAATGAAATGCTGTTTGACTGCAGTGAATAAATCTCGTAACATCTGCGATAAAGAAGCTGACAACGATAGTCACTGGACATACTAATATCGCCTGATATTATCGGCTGGCCGATTAATCGATCAGCGTCTCGCACTTTGTTTTGTAATATCCTGCTCATACCATGGTGACTTGCCAAAGAATAAAAAATAAGGGAGGGGCGCGCTGGTGGCGCAAGGGTTAGGCGCCCCATGTATTGAGGCTGTCGTCTCAAGAGGGCGGCCCGGGCTCGCATCCCGCCTGTGGCCTCCCTCCCGCTCTCCACTCCCTCTCCCTGGTTTCCGACTCTATCCACTGTCCTATCTCTCCATTAAAGGCACAAAAAGCCCAAAAATAAATCTTAAAAGAATAAAGAATAAGGGTATAAAAAAACATATTTTTTATACATTTTTTACACCCAAATATCAAGTTTTCACAAGCCATAAATAACTCAAGGTTTAAAAACCTGAAGGCTCTTTTGTGATAAAAAAGTTGTCACCATTTTAATAATTGGAAAGGATCTATGGCAACACTTCTCATTAGATGGAGCTTATAGTCCGCTCAACTAATTGAACTGTGACACCTCCAGCATCCTCCAGTTTTGAAAAATAAAGCATATGCAAAAGTGAAAGAAACTGCAGTTCCTCTAGTGTCCACTGGAGGCTGTCTGCAAGAACCAAGGAATCCCCATTTGCTCCCATTTTTAATTGCACATTTTTACAGCAGAATTAAAATGTTAACAGCCTGGTGATTTTAAAAAATCATCTCAAAAGCTATTTTCTCTATTTAGTAGACTCGATAATAGCATGTGAGATGACTTCTTATGTGATAGAATATCTCTAAGCTCAGGTTGGCAGTGTATTTATCATGTTTTGTCTTTTACAGTCACCATCCTGTGCTGTTCAGAAGATTTCCTCTTATGGTTAAATATTTAGATATAGGCTGATACGGTGATAGTTCTGAACTATCCATCGTCTGGAATTGATGAACACCCTGCAGCCAATCAGAATCGAGTATTCCCCCAGACCATGGTTTAAAAAAAGGGATTTAATGAGTTGTTGCAAAGATGGACAGATGAAGTATCTGTACAAAATGTTTCTTTTCTTTCCTGCATCTCTGTTCTTGTTAAACTCGGGGGGTGTCAGGGCTCGTCAGACTTTCTCATTCCCAACTATGAGCCGTTTCATCGAGGTGTAAATAGCATGAGATGGGTGATAATAAACTGCTGCGTTCAACGTGTCAGAGAACACGCTTACCTCTGTGCAACCAGGGGAGAAACTTCAAACACACACATTCACACGTGTAGAGAGAACACAGGACAGAGCCGTCGGCTATAAATAGAAAACATTTGCATCTTGACACACTTGGAGACAATTTGATCCCGTTTCCGATCCCCACGCGTTTGTAAGATGTATGAGCAGTTTGTTCCACCTCCTGGACATTACAGTCAGGCGTCCATGTTTTTTCTTTTCTTCTTCTCTGCCTTTAATGTCTGCCTCGGCCCCTGAGTGTGTCTGTGTTGATCCTCTATAGAGTACAGTACAATGAAGTATCACACTTGAGCTCCTCCCTCCCCTGGGATCGAGGACGTCCTGTCATGCCCGGGTTAGGCTCACTCTTAATTGCTACGAC